ATATATAATTTATCATCATTTAATATATATTTTTATCATGAATAATTTATCATCATTTAATACTATTTTTATCATCATATAATGAAAATTATTATCATGAATAATTTATCATCATTTAATATAAAAAATTTTATTGAATTTATTTCTTTAAAAAATTTGAAAGAACTCTTTAAATTTCAACCTAACAATAGCAATCACTAATAATTTTTTATTATAAAATAAACTATTTCTTATCTAATGGTACTTAAAATGGTACTCAAAATTTTGATACTTAAAATGGTACTTAAAATTTTGATAATTGGAATCAAAAATCACTATTATATATTTTACGTATCATAAACAATGTAAATAATGAAAATCATTTTATTACTATTAGAAATATTTTCCATACCAAAATTACTAAATGAATAAACAAATTTGTAATTATTGATTGAAATGAAATGAAAGTAATCAAAATATGAATATGAAGAAATAATCCAAATTATATAATTAAATAAATAAATAATTATTAACATTTTTTTTTTGGTATCTTTAAATGAATAATAGTTATCACTATTATTTTCTTTTTGTAGGAATAGAAAATATATATTAAAAATAAATTGAAATTACCTATAATCAACATACTGCTTCATTTTCAATGTTATACATCGAATCATTTTGGTACTATCATTTGTTATTACGATATTTACTTGAATTTTTTCACCAGGTGTAAATCCAGTTCGATCAACTGACATTTTCACCGTTATTGAGCCTTGCTTTTGACAGCAAAATTTTACCGATGAAATTGAATTTGTTTCACATACTGGTTCCATTACCTATATTATCATTAATTGCATATGCAATGAATAATTTTTGATAATATTAATTGAAAATATTAATGACTTTTTTTAATCATTGATTTCTTTCATCTTATTATTTGTTTGATTATCACTTAAGTAATAACCAGTGATAATTTCAAAATTCATAAATATGTCAAAATATTTTCCGAATTTATTAAATTTACAATTAATAATTCTTTTCATTGATGTAAGAGAAAAATAAAAAAACAAAAAAATTCAACAATAATTAATCAATTAAATTAATAAATTAATTAAAGCATAGTAAAAAAACGAATTATTATTAATTATTTAATTTAATCAAATGAATAATATATATATATAATAATAATAAATATAATGATAATAAATAAACCTCAGGATCCTGATTAATATCCTCAATACCGATAACAGTAAATGCTCGTTTTGATACAATATCAACATCCCATGGACGTTCACATACTGCTTTACATGTATATCGTATAAAACCAAAATCTCCTTCAAATGATGTCGGTAATGTTTTTGGTAATGTAAATGAAAATGGTATTTCATGCCTTCCAATTGGTAAAATTCGTTCCTAAAATAAAAATTAAATAAAATTTATAAAATTAAAATATAATTTAAGGAAATAAAAATGGCTATATATCTTTAAGTTTCTTTCGTTAATTTTATAAATTTATTCAAATTCAATTTTTCTTATTTCTTATATGAACTCAAAAACTAAAGACAAATATTTGGCTAGGCATTTTTACGTATATCACGACAAATGTTTGTCTAAGCATTTCTATATATATCTCGACAAATATTTGGCTAGGCATTTTTGCATATATCTCGACAAATATTTGGCTAGACATTTTTGCACATATCTCGACAAATATTTGGCTAGGCATTTTTGCATATATCTCGACAAATATTTGGCTAGGCATTTTTGCATATATCTCGACAAATATTTGGCTAGGCATTTTTGCATATATCTCGACAAATGTTTGACTAGGCATTTCTACATATATCTCGACAAATATTTAGCTAGGCATTTTTGCATATAATTCGACAAATATTTGCCTAGATGTTTTTACATGTATCTCGACAAATATTTGGCTAGGCATTTTTACATATATTTCGGCAAATAATAGCCTAGGCATTTTTACATATATTTCGGCATATATTAGCCTAGGCATTTTTACATATATCATGAAAATTTACATCATATAAATTAGTGCTTTGACGTAAATAACAGTTAAGAAAAATTTAAACAACAACATATTTTTCATGAAAAATAAAAATGACGTCATAAGAAAATTTTATATTTTAAATTGAAAATAAATGGATGACTTTTTTATTATCAGAATTGGTTTGTGTAAATTGATGGGTGTAGCAAGTGTTGAATTGTTCACAAAAATATGGTTCAGCTTCACTATAGTGCACTCGTGATTTACCTGAAATTAGAAATTAAAAAAAAGCGAAATCCTAATTTACCTGAAATTAGAAATTAAAAAAAAACGAAATCCTAATTTACCTGAAATTAGAAATTAAAAAAGCGAAATCCTGATTTACTTGAAATTAAAAATTAAAAATGAAATCCTGATTTACCTGAAATTAAAATTTAAAAAAAATGTCCAAAAAGAGAAGTATTCAATATTTTATAGTAATAATTTTTATATTATAATGCTAAAATAAAATAATCTGAAATATTTCTTTTTTATATTAAAAAAACTCGAAATAAATTACTTAAAAATTTTTTGCATGTCTAATGACAGTACGATTTTAATGAAGCTATTTTTGTAATCTTAAATAATACTAGATCAAATTAATTAGCTAAAATAACATCTGTTGTTTTTTTTTAAGTTGTAGTAAGAGTAAGATTTTAATGAAGTTACTTTTCTATCCTGAATAATACTACATTAAATTAATTAGTTAATTAATTAATCAATCATGCCGAAACATACTTTTTTTTCTCAATTCTATTAATTTATAATTTTTAATCGATAATGAAAAATTTATTCTATTACATTAGAAATACCTGAATGTTTTGTCCAATATGTTTTAGCTCGTCCTTTAAGTTCCATTAGTACTTCATTGACCTTTTTAGGTTCACTATTTTCAATCACAACCTATAACAATACATAATATTCTTATTAATAATATTCGCAAAATAATTTTCCAAATTCATTAATTAAATCTTTTCCCCAAAAAAGTCATTCCTAAATTTATTATATTTTTTGATAGAAAAAATTAAATGTTAACTTATAAATATAATTAAAATGTAATGTAAATAAAATAAAAAAAATAAATTTTATAATTACTTATAATTTTGTGTGCTAATAATTTTATTTACTTATAATTAACTATGATTTATAAATATGTAAATTTTTTTGAACTGAAAATGAACTTTTTAAAAATTTCATACAAAATTAATAAATCATAAATTTTCCTTTGCTCATTTATGCTTTCAAAGAAAATTTACATATTTATTTTAAGTATCCATTTCTCTTTCTAATTTATTATTTATTTTATTGTTTAATTGAAACAAAGAAAATATAAACAAAGAAAATTAGAGCGAATTTTTTAAATTAGTCAAAAAATGAATGGAAAAATTTCGATAGCAATTAATTGCATTAAATAATATTTAAAAAAAAAATATTAATTGGCTAATTATTCGATTCGAAGTTTTCATAATAATTCAATTTATGAGTAATCATTAAAATTATTTTTTTAAAAATTAAATGAATAATTGCCAAAAAATATTAATTTGAAATTAACCCTATAAAACAATTATCATTAATAACTGTTATCTTTTTATCATTTGCGTAATTAAGCCAAATAATTTCTTAATTTGATTACAACGTTTAGACAAAAGAAAACTATGAAAATTTTAGTAGTTTCATAATATTAGCAATTGTAAACAATATTTTCAAAAATTTAATTTTCACAACAGAAAAAGAAAGTTTCAACAATTTATTGCATATCACACTTTTATCAGTACATTTAAAAAATATATTTAACACAGTGATAAGAATAGAATGTCTTATGAACTGTGGTTTATTTTAAAATTGTCTTCTTTTAATCAATTTTGAGAAACGATTTGAATTCTTCTTTTTGATATGATATGATATGATAAGATGTGATATGATATTCTCAATTAATTTCTACTTCATTTATTCATTTTGATAAATTAATTTGTTTGATAATGTTTGATTTTGTTGCTTATTTATTTTTTTTAATTATAAAAATATATTAATTACTAATATCGCAAATATATTTCACTGTAAGTTATGTGATTCCACTTTTGTCGGATTTTTTCAGTTAAATTTAATTACAGAAAAAAAAGGTGAAAATAATTTTCATTAAATGAATTAATTAGTTAGACGAATGAGATTGTAAATGAAATAATTGATGAATATCAAATTACCTTTCCGGATACTTCTTGTCCAGCAAAATAAACATTTTCAGCATTATCGAATTCAATATCAAATTTAACCAATTTAACCATCGTTTAATTCATTCTGTAAAAAGATTAGTATTGTCAATTTTATCATATACTCAATATGTAATCAATTTTTGAACGCATACTATTGATAATTAATAATCATTATATATGTAATATTATCAATTTTATCATATATTCAACACGTAATCAATTTTTGAACGCACGCTATTATTCATAATTATAATCATTACAATTACTTGGGTTATATATTTATTTTTATTTCAATCATTACTTAATGAAGTATTATTTAATTGTTGCGAAAAATTGATTATAAATTACTACTCATTGATTATAAATTATTAACCAATATTAAATTATAGTTGTAAATTTATAAACTTTATAAATTATCGATTAATTTCTTAATAACTATTCTGAAATTTACTCATTGATCATAAATCATTAATACAATATTAAATTATAGTTGTAAATTTATAAACTTTATAAATTATCGATTAATTTCTCAAATAAACATTTCCTCAATAACAATTCTGAAATTTACTACTCATCCATCACTTAATGTGACACAATAAAATTATCAGCAGTTTACTGATATAACAAAAAAAACAAAGGAAACTGTTTATGAGTGAAAATTAAGTATTTCTATTTTTAATTAATTCTTTCAATTTTACAACAAATTATTTCTCAGTTTTCCCAACAACTAATTTATGCTAAATGAACGAAAACTGAAAGATAACAAAATATTCCTTCTTTATTTATTTGTTTATTAAATCAATTAATTAATTTTCTTAATTGAAACTGCTGAAAAAATGTTAGCGAAAAAGATTCGTGAGAGAGAAAGAGAAAAATATAAAAGGAAAAGTTGAATTCTCAATTGTATAATGAATGAATTACCTGAATAGATAATTAACTACCAATTTCCACCTCTTCATTTATTCAACTTAAAAATAAACAAATAAATAACGTAATATTTTAAGCTTACAAATAAATATATAAATAGTATAATATTTTAAGCTTACAAATAAATATATAAATAGCATAGTATTTTAAGCTTACAAATAAATAACATTATATTTTAAGCTTAGACTTACTATTTTACAATTTTTCATTTTTCTTCTTTTTTTTTAAAAAAATAGAAATTTTTAAAAATTAAATTTTCGGAAGAAATAATTATATTTTTTTAACGAGAAAGAAAACTAAATTTATTAATTAATTTCAAATGAGAAAAGTGGAAAAAACATTTACATAAACAATATAAATATAAAATCAAACTTCAAAATATAAAATTATATTCTGATTTGTAAGTGAAGAAGTACTTAAATACTTAATTAAATTCAAATTCTTTATCGATTCATATTTGTAAGTGAAAGAATTTTACCACCGATAATTACTATATTTTTACTCCGTAATAATTTATGAATAGTAATATTTAAATAAATGAATAAATTAAATGAATAATTATATTATGATTTTTAAGTAAAGAAGTACTTAAATACTAAATCAAATGAGTTACTTATTCTTTGTCGATTCATATTTTTAGGTAAAAAAAATTGTGCCACCAATAATTCCTATTCTATTTTCACCACAAATAATTATGAGTAATAATATTTTAATAAATGAATAAATGAAATGAATAATTATATTTTGATTTGTAAGTGAAGAAGTACTTAAATACTAAATTAATTGAATTACTCATTCTTTATCAATCCATACTTTTAAGTAAAAAAATTATGCAATCAATAATTACTATTTATTTTCTCCATGAATAATTATGAATAATAATATTTAAATAAATGAATAAATTAAATGAAGTAAAAAGGGAAAAATTTTTTTTTAAATTTTGTTGTAAAAAAAAAGCAAAGAAAATTAAAAAATTAATTATTGAAAATGAAATACTAATTAATATTCGAATATAAAATCAAATATAGCAATTAGTTCATCGATATAATTTGATATGAAAAAATGTAATAATATTTTTGCCAACGATATTATCCCAAAAACACTGAAATAAACTAAATAATTTATGAAACGTTTCATTTATCATTCGCTTATACTTAATTTAAAATTAAAATTTAATTTCATTATCATTTTATTGACAGTTTTCGCATAATTTCAAAATCATTCCATTAATTCAAATGAATAAACTAAATGTATAATATACTTAATTTAAAATTAAAACTTATATTTAATTTAAAATTGAAATTTAATTTCATTATCATTTTATTGGCAGCTTTCGTATAATTTAAAAATGTTGCTAAAAGGCTTTCTTTTATCATTTAATTAATTCGTTTTATCAATGAAAAAGTAAGTCAGGAAGTGTGATAAGAAAGGAAGATCGAAAAGATAAAAGTTAATTTCGTTGAAAAAAATATGTTGCAAAATAAATTGCTATTTTTATCGTATAGCAAAATCTAAAATGATATTGACTCTAAGCGAATTAAATGATCGAAAAGAAAATTAATAAATTTTAAAATGAAAATAAGAAATGAAAAAATTGTTGCAGACAATGAAATCTGTCAATTACATGAAGAAATGATGAAGGAAAAAAATTGTTCCAATTATTTAAATATTCATTTGCCTGTTTCTCTATTTTCTTTTTTTTTTGCTTCTTAATTAAAATTTAATTATTAGCAAAATTTCAGATGAAATAATTGAACCATAAAATAAATTTCTTCTTTCGTTGAAATATTAATTATTCAATGTTATAAGAAAAATGTCTCAGTGACGAATTACTTATATGATATATTATAATAAAAAGTTTATAAGAATACTTCAATATAAGTTTAATTCATTATCATTTCGATATATTAATAATTATTATACTTTAATTATTACCAATTTTATCAGCTATCAATAATTGCATATAAAAATGAACAGAATTAAAGATGCAATAATAAAATAACGATTACTACAAGACAGAAAGAAATGAATAACTTACTAAATTTAACTATCACTATTTTGAAGATAATATACTTTATCAAATTAATTCAACATAAGTCTAATTCATCATCATTTCGATACATCAATAATTATTACACTTTAATTATTATTCATTTTATCAGCTATCAATAAATGCACTATAAGACAGAAAGAAATGCCTAACTTATTAAATTTAAGTATCACTATCTTGAAGAGAATACATTTGACGAATAAAATTAGGAGGAAAAAAGAAAAATGAGTATATTTCTTGGAACATTATATATTAAATTATATATATTATACCATATAATCAATATGATTAATGTGCTGATAATGATTCACTTTTACTTCTTACTTTTCTCAATAATCATGATATTTATATCAGTAAAAGATGATGATTTATTCACTATATATTTTGATTTGATTAACATATTGTTGTTTTGAAAATTATTTTTTCACTAATAATTAATAACGATTGACAATATGTTTTCAAAAATGACGAATGATAGCAACTGATAATATATTGGCATATAAGAATAAGATTATAGTTTAGGTCGTTATAAAGGTATTTTTAGGAATATAAGAAATTAAGTTGTAATAGAATTAATTGATTGATTTATATTTGAAAACAAATAAAAGGATAAATTAAATTGGTCTTCATTAATTAAATTATCATTGGAAAACAATATGAATTGATAAAAGAAATTTTAACAATACAATTAACACCAGTAATATAGTTATTGCCATTTAATAAATATCACAATAATTAAATTCAACCTTAATTTCAAACATACAAAATATATACATATCATTATGTTACCTCCTTCATCATCAGTACTTACTTAATAATAAAAGCTGTTATTGCAAATCATTTGAGTAAGTCTCACTTAAACAAGATTTCATGATATTAAACTTTCACCAACTAACTTATTCGCTATTTAATCATTCCTTGACAACTTCATCTATCATTTTTATTATTATGATTTTTTGTCAACTATTCAATCATCGTTTCATAAGCTCTTATCTAATCATTTTTATCACTGAATTCATCATTTTCACTTATTTTCCTATCTTCTCTACAATGATGCTATATTGCCATCTTCCTATCATCAATTACAATTATCATACATTAATCATCTTATCATTTGAAAAATAATATTACAATGTTTTTATTTGATTTTTCATTCATCAATTTTAAATTATTGATAAAATGAAATATAGGTTTAACATAGCTTTCAATCATTTCTCATTTTCAAAAATATTTCATTTCTCATAAAATTTTCTTCTTTTTATAAATTCCTCATTCTAGTCAAATTTCCGTACTATTTCATATTTACCTTTCTTTTTCACGCAGTATGCAAAGATTCAGATGCCAATTTAGATTCAAATGGCTATGGCCATCATCACATTTTTCGAAATTAGTATTTGCAAGTAAATGCTATTAACTTAATTGTAGCATGCAAATGGAATGTCTTAACTTGCATGCATGCATTATATATGTTTATGTATATATTTACATAGTAACAGTAAAAAAAAAAAAGTAAATCATTGCTAAAACTCAAAATTAAATTAAATTTCAAATCCTAAAATATAATTTAATTTCTAATAGATTTTCACATAATATTTACCCAACGAATTGATTCGCTTTTATTTAATAATTCCATTTGAAAATGAAAGAAACTAAAAATGGAAACTTTAAAAGTTTCGTCTTTTCTTCCCAATCAAATGAATTAAAATAAAATCACAAAAAGACAAAGAAGAAAAACGAAAGATAACTAATATAATATAACCGAATAATATAACCAATAATATATATTATATAACCAACAATAAATTGATTTGATATATTTCAATGAGTGATTTTGATAACATAATGACATAGTGATAATAACAAAAATAATGAAGCAAGTTAACAAGGACTGATAAAAAATAACAATAATGTTAATAATAATACATTAATAATATTAATAATAATAGTACATGATAATAACAATATTAATAATATTAATAATAATAGTACATGACAATAATAATAATAATAATAATAATAATAATAATGATACATGATATAATAATAATAACAATAATAATAGTAATAATAACGATAATTATTAATATTATTATAA